CTGGAAACACTTCCTGCAAAGACATGTTTTTACGTTTTCAGTTTCTTTATGCTTCAATCAGGGAAAAAACATGACACAGGAAATAAATACATGTATACAACATTAGTTAATCCAGAGAAATATCAAACTCTTCATTCGTTTTATTCACTCACTTCATATAAATTTTCAATGGACAGTGTCCTCTGTGTAATCCTCTGTCTCATGTCCATGCGTGATCAGGTTCAGGAATACTTGACTCGCTTCGAGAGCATCCCCGACATGCTGGAGCTCGACCACCTCACCGTGTCTGGGGACGTCACGTTTGGGAAAAACGTTTCTCTCAAGGTACGATAATAAAGACAAACATGTGTTTTACTGTTTATCCAGAATCAACAGAAGCTTTTAGTGAGAAAGTCTGTGATCCTGCTCGTTACTGATTCACAGCTTCAAATAATCCTGTTTCCAAAACATCCTGTAACTTCTGAGTCAGATCAAATGAAAACCAAGTTTCGTCTGCTGTTCTTTTCTGTTTTAAGTTACCTGATAGAGTTGATCTGGTTCTTTGGGAAGAAGGATTTTGAATGCAGGACTTTTATTTTGACACTTGAGTAAAGGATGTGATTAGGTGTGTGACCTCTGACCTGAACCTGTGACCCTTCCTCCTCACAGGGCACCGTCATCATCATCGCCAACCACGGCGACCGGATCGATATTCCCGCCGGCTCCATGCTGGAAAACAAAATCGTGTCCGGTAACCTGCGCATACTGGACCACTGAGCTGGACGTGTTTGTAGCTTGCATACACCGCCCCCTACAGGCTCCTTAGGAATACTATCAAAGGTTTATGTTATATAATGAGATAATAACGGTTGTCACTTTCCACAAAGACATTTATATAACAGAAGAGAAAACTACAGATTTTATCGTTTATCTTCGTTTCGTCTGCTTCCTCATGAAAAAGTTAAATCTGCCAAAAAACAGTTATTTAATAAAGACACTTATAAAACTGATGACTTCATAATCCTCCTCCTCATCCTCCCTCTCCTCCTCCTTCTCCTCCTCCTCCTCAGTATATAGCGTTTGTACATAGAAGTAAACCAATCACATGTTCTTTCATTTCAAGCTCAAGCTCCATCTGTTGCAACTCACTTAAAAAATAAGAAGAACCCACAGTCACATTTAAATTCACAGCTTCTTGATTTCTATTTTATATCTGCACCAAATGAAATATCAGTCCCTGAAACATAACAGAGTTTTATTGTTATTCATGAGGTTCAATCAATGAAATTTGATTTGTACAGCTCTTATTCACGAATCACAATTGGTGTCTTAGGGCTTAACATCCTCTGTTCTTAACCCTCAACAAGAGCAAAGGAAAGAACTATCCAGAAAAACTAAACGCCCAGATCTCACAATGTTAAAGAAAGTGACGATCACAGTGAAACCTGGAGGCAACGAAACGCTCCGTCTCTGTAACTGCTGGACTTTATCCAGGCGAGACAACGACGCCGTAAAGTTTTATGTAAAAAATATAATGTGAAGTGAAGACTTCTTTGTTCAGTCCTGTGATGTAGAAGATAAAAAAAACCACATTGTGCATTATTGTCTTTTTATCCAGTTAGTTTGTTCACATGTTGACCTTCATGTTGTGTGAAACCTCGTGCCTCCATCACAGTGTCTCACGTCTCCTCCCGTCCAGCAACGTCTTTCTGCCTTTTAGCCTCACGCACCGAGCACCGCAGGTCATTTTAAAACAAACGTGTACATACGCAGAGTTTCAGTGTGGAAGATACTTGAGATGGGTCCTGGAAGCAATAAGTGTTGATCTGTGACGAGGTCTCGGCCCAGTTCTGCCTTCTCGGAGCTGAATAAAGTGCAATACGAAATACTGAGCATGTGTCGTCTCCCGTGTGTTCGTCCACCGTCACTTCAAACTTTGAGATTCTTCGTCATCACAATATTAAAATCTACAGAGGAAGGTTTTGTCATCGCAGGAATGAAATGTAATAAATCTGGATTGTTGAGGGGTGACAGTGAATCTTAAATCCTCCGGAAGCAGCTGTAGGTGTCATTAAAAATATAAAATTCAATAACTTGATGCAAAAAGTCCAACGTTGGGTCATTTTTAATGTAAAGATCTCGGTGGTCAGTCAAAGAAAAACCAGACAGAGTGAATGAAGTCACTTTTACACTTTATTGTTTAAAGTTGTTACAAAAACGTGTTCGCTGGAAACATTCTTTGATTTTTGCCTTAATAAGCACGAAGAGACGGACGCCGGACAGAAGAGGAAGAAGAAGAG